CTATTGTTTAAAAATCAAATCTGAATTTAAATTTCTGTAGGAGTACTGTTTTAACCACTCCTACCAGTGTACAATAGTGTGTTGTCTGTCTGTCAGTAGACACTAAAATGACGTCACGCAAGGGACGCCGAACGTTGCAATTTGTACTGTCGTGAGGTCAGTAAAAATGCCATGAATTACGAGAAGAATTATGTACTCTGGAGGCTATAACTCAACTTGGCATATGAACTTCAAAAATCAAGAAATAAAAAATATTTGTTACTTTTGATTTTGGTTTTATTTACTGTAGAAACACAACACTTTTTGGGACCCTGCGGAAGTACACCTGCGGAAGTATACGGAAGTATAAATGTATTTCTGTGTGTATTGGACCTTTGTCGAAGGATATATGTGTGTACATTTGTTAATGTGACGTGCTTGTTTTTGCTAACTGATGATAATTTATTTAATTGTTATATATGTTATATATAGTGTTTAGTATTTAGCAAAATGTATATATTTACAAACAGTTTTATTGTTTAGTACTTATAGAAGTCGACTATGTGCGCATTTCATAAAAAAAAAACAACGTTAATAAATAGCCGTGCCCCGGTGGGGCAGCGGTAAGTCTACGGATTTACAACGCTAAAATTAGGGGTTCGATTCCTCTCGATGGACACAGCAGATAGCCGGATGTGGCTTTGCTATAACACACACACACAATAAATAGATATATCTCTCGAAGCTTTTTTATTTGGAACAAAATATTGGGCCTAGCATGGGCTGGTGGTTAGGGTCGTGCGGGTTGTGGAATCGAATCCTACCATCGAACACGCTCATCCTTAATGTGACGGTTAATCTCAACGGTCAATCTTGCGTTGGTAAAGAGTAGCCCAGGAGTTGGCGTTGGGTGTTGTTGACTAGCTGCTTTCCCTCTAGTTATTCATTTCTTAGGACCAGCTAGCAGACAGCTCTCGAGTACCGTTGCGCGAAATCCCAGAAAAACAAGATATTATGAAACGGACACAAAGATCAGAATAGTTTGCTTCAGTTGATAAATTTTATCTCAGAAAAATCATTCAAAAAATTATATTTAATCAAGTTATTATTAGTGATTTAAAAGTGACACAGAAATGGTTAGTTAGGTTGAAACGGCAGTTTGAATATACTTACTAGATTTTTTTTGTTGTTGTTTCAATACTCACTAGTCAACATCGCCCACCACTAAATCTTGAGTTGCTCTTTAACAAAGAATAGTGGGATTGACCGTCAAATTATAACGCTTCCATGGTTGAAACGATGAGCATGTTTGGTGACGGTATTCGTACGCATGTGTAAAATAGGCATTGCTGAAAAATGTAGCGTTGTTGTTATAATGACCTATATGCTCAGCCTTTGTGTGGCACAAGGTGTTGTTCACTTTGAAAGTACCAAGTATTAAATTTTTAAATAGGGGGTACACAATAAGCTGTAAAGCCTAACTAAAGTATACGTATTGGCCCAGAAATAATATATGGGTTTCGAGTTCTTAAAATATCTGGTGAAAATTTTACTTAGGAAAGGGATTGAATAATCTGCTGTCTTTCAATGATTCGTTTTGACCACTGGTCAAAGTAATTCACCTTTTTTTACATTGATTTATATATCAATTTAGTTATATTAATTCCCACCAGGTGGTCTAATATCACTAGATCGTAATAATAGAAGGTTGGTTGGTTTGTTTTTAAGCACAAAGCTGCACGATGGGCCCGCCACTAATAGAAGCTAAGTCTAGGTGTTTTTTTTTGTTTTTCTGTCTGTGATAAATATTACGAATGGAAATTATTTAAAATTGCGAAATTTCGCAAAAGCCATCAAGTATATATCAGAACGTCGAGGGGGGTGTTTTATGTGCATTTGTGTTGTTTATTCCATTTGACGTGCACCAAATGTGTTCGGATATCTATATACTTGTTTGTTTTAGTGCAAATCCACATTGGCTATCTGCTGTGTCCATCGCGGAAAATCGAGCCCCACTTATCCAAGATGTTTTTCAGGGTCTTTTACTACTGTCACTTATTTGTATAAGAACTTCAGAGATTTAGTGTAATGTAGAATGTGCAGTTAGTAACAAGTCATTATATAAATATGTTAACTATATGTCGATTTATCTATTTGTTCTTTCAGGGAAGATCTATTGACCACTGGTCGGATCCTTCCGATGCTTGGTCATCGGTGTGATGATGTCATCTCTGCCTCCTGTACCTGAATTCCGGGATGCTGATCAGTACTGGCAACCTCTATTAAGTAACGGTGTCGAGATTATTCGGCCTAAACCACGCCGCTTGGGGGACATGAATCAGCACAGTGGAACAAACGCGGGTGCTTTTTGTAGAAGTTCTAACCGAGAAGGAATTTATGTGGGAACTCCGTTAAAATTCTTAAACAAAGACTTGATGGGAGGATCTGCACCTATGTTAGTGAAATCTTCAAGCAAGGAAGCTATACAGTTTTCTAACAAGGACCAGACTACTAACTCTGGCTTATCGTCGTCCCAAACAAAGAGTTTCTGTTCTAGTAATCATTCTCGTTTCTCTTCTGGTAAAGAGAAAGTACCAGCCATCCCTTCATGCTCTAGGGATGTTTGTACTGGTGGATCTCAGCAACCACGAGGATCCACAAAGGATATGTCGGGAAGTCTCAGCTCCTCTAATTTTACATCTAGAAGCAACTTGAGCATGCTTCCTCATTCAAGGAGTTCTCCTGGCTTGGTCATCCAAAGTTCCCGAATTTCTCGAGCCACAAAATGTTTGGCTACTGAACCTCATAGCTCGAGAGTCTCACCATCTACCAAGTTGATTATTTCAGACCCCCAAACGTCTAGATCATCACCCGCTTCCAGATCATTGAGTGTTGAATCAAGTGGTTGTAAGGCGCCTTCTGCGACAAGAAACTTGGCTTTCGAAGTATTAAGTTCTAGAATGAACGCTGTTGTAAAAACCGTAACAAACGAAAATGCAGTTTCTCATTTACCAGTTGAAAACCAGAATGGTATTCGGCCCATTTCGAGCCATTGTTCATGGGAAAATCACCGAATTGAAGAAGAGGATGAAGGTATTCCTCCCGATGGCCACTTGTCACCTTACAGAGATTCGGCTTCAAACACTGACTGTGGGTCTTTAAGTAAAAGTTCATCAGATGGTGATCCAATAATCTGTCGACGACGACCACCAACGAGACTAAAGTCTCGGAGACGGAATATTCTGAGCTTTCCAAATATGCTTAGTGTCGACAATTCCAAGGCTCTTCAGAGGCGCCAAGAATGCTGTGGGGGATCATCTAGTGATGAAAACAGGTATAAAGTTGTTAGTAGTTATATAAATTATATAAACTCACTGATTAAACTATGAAATTATCATCCATTTAATATTCAATAATACTACTATTGTTTACTTCGCAATACTGAAAATGAAGTACCCACACTTTATATGTCGAACGTAGTTGTTCTAAGTTTTCTTTTATCTTTTTCGATGAGTATAACTGAGAGTTATATTGATTTAGTCTATCATTGAACGTATTGATTTTGTGAAAAAAAAATAATAACTTTATGCACGTGTTTGTTGTTTTACCAGGTCGTCTGGACATGCCAGTATGAGCGACGGCCAGTCATCCTATGTCAGTTCGTCACCTACTGAAAGGCCAATGGTCAAGAATCTTGATTTAGGGCACTTTAGCAAAGTGGTTGATTCGGGAAGACGTGATCATCGTGGGAATAGCGATTTGCGAACAAATCATCAACACAGAAGCTGTGATGCCAAAGGCTTGTCATCACGAGAGCCTCAGCTGAAAGTAGTTCCAGAAGACGACAAGTTGCCGACTCACAGTTTCCATCATGCTGGACTAAGTAAATCGTCTGGACGACGTTCCGGGCCGTCTCGGAGAAGCAGTCGAGGCGCTATGGCTAGAGATGACTCAACCCTTCAGTTGGAAGGAACTGGCTTGGAAGACATACGCAATGCTATTGAACAACTGTCGGTTCGCACACATGGTTCTCGAACAAGCTATTCTACGTCTACTTACTCTTCAGTGAGTGGGAGTGAGTCGGAACCTGTTCGAAGGCTAATACGACACTCCAGTCTTGAGACTCTAAATACTAACATTACTAGTGCGGACGAATTTGTGTGGCTTGATAGTCACAACCGCTTGGTGGAGCTGCAACAGTGTCCGTGGTCTAATCACGATGTTTTGAAAGTTATTCAGAATGGTCGCTTAAAAGAATCTCTGAGTCTTATTTCTATGGAAACTGTACCAAGATTAGCACATCTTTTACAACGACCTCTAGTTCGCGTGGCACGCGAGGCTCAAAGATTCTCCCGCAGTTTGGGAATGTGTAGCAAGCAAGAAATTAGTGGTGCCTTAAAAGTGGTTCTCTCGCCCGCTTTGGCTGATAGCTGTATAAAGGCTTGTCATCGCAGTGCAGCCATCTATACAGTTAGTGGGGACCACTTGCGGCTCAGCAAGAGTACACGTGCGGGTTTACAGTTTTCTGTAGGTAGATTCCATAGATGGATGTGTGACGTCAGAGTAGGAACCTTTATTCACGAATATTCCGCTATTTACCTTACTGCAGCAATGGAAAATTTACTGGAAGAAATCTTACTCCTTTGTTTACCATCGGAACCCACAGAAGGCAACAACACCTTGACAGCTTCCTTATTGGATATTTCCATCGCAGATAATAGTGAGTTGTGGGGATTGTTGCAGAATTTCTCACACCTGAATTCAGGCAGAACAGCATCCGGTAAGCACAAAGATTTAATAGAACTAAGATATTTCAAATGCATGTTGACCGTGATCCAAAGATTATTATTATTTTTTTAAATTTTTACGGATGAGTTAACGTTTTGATATTTATTTTATGCCACTGTTTCATCTACTTCCATTTAATCGTTAACGTACGGATGAAAACATTATGCTGATATGAATTCCGTATCTTAGAAGTTTCTTACAAATCCATGTGGTGCACCAGAAAATACAAATTAAATGCATATTTTTAGTAGGTGAATTAAAATTGTGGTAGAACTATTACCTAACTATAAAAAAATAGTTTTATACATTATAGAGACATAAAATAATATTTTCACTTCAAACTCGACTTCTAACACCACGACCAGGTGGTTAGGGGGCGCTTGATTCGCAATCTGAGGATCGCGGGTTCCAATACCCGTCCCACCAAATATGCTCGTCCTTTCAGCCTTGGGGGTGTTATAATGTGATGGTCAAACCCACTGTTCATTTGTAAAAAAGAGTATCCCAACAGTTGGCGGTGGGTGATGGTGACTAGCTGACTTCCCTCTAGTCTTCCACTGCTAAATTAGGGACGGCTA